GCCTGGGTGGCTCAGATGGTTAAGCGTCTGCCTTCGGCTCAGGTCATGATCCCAGGGTCCTGGGATCGAGTCCCGCATCGGGCTCCCTGCTCCTTGGGAGCCCGCTTCTCCCTCTGCCTCTCTCTCTCTCATGAATAAATAAAACCTTTAAAAATAAATAAATAAATAAATAAATAAAGATTTATTTATTTGACAGAGAGAGAGAGTGCATAAGCAGGCAGAGTGGTAGACAGAGGGAGAGGGAGAAGCAGGCTCCTGGCCAAGCAGAGAGCCCTATGCGGGGCTTGATCCCAGGACCCCAGGACCATGACCCGAGCTGAAGGCAGACACTCAACCAACTGAGACACCCAGGCGCCCCATGGAAATGCTATTTTTAAAAGAGATACAAACAACATGGATTAGTTTAAAAAGATATATGTAAGTGTAATAAATTCTGCTATGAGCTCTGAATAAGTAAAACCCAATTTGGTCAGGCATGACTTAATTTTCAGTTTGGAGAAGAACAAATAAAATCTAGGTAAAGAACGAAGACAATATCACTGACCAGACCTGATATATATTTAAGCAACCCTTTTTCCATCTTTGCCCACACACTTTCTCAATTTCCCCCTTTCATTAGAGCATTTCCAAACCAAGTTCCTTCAGTTATACAAATTAATCTCAAAGCAGAGGGGCTGGCATAAATCTGACATTTCTAGGAGTATAGAACAGAAGAGTCCACAGCTTTCACTTGCCTATTTTAAAGAGAATGAAAGCTGGTTTGTTCATTTGCTCAGCAGCTTTAAAAACAAATACAAAGGTTTCATGCTGTCATAGTTTTATTTTAAAGAACAATACTTGTCAAAGGCAGGTAACTGGATAACCAAAAGTAGGATAGCAAAATACAAAAGAAAGCAAAAACAGACACAATTTCATACAAGAAAGATATTAAGCAACTAGGAAAAGCCATCCTATTTTCCACATAAATTAGTCCTAAAGCTAACCTCAAAAAGTTTTCCTTTTGTCCTGATTTTATTCCTCTTTCAGTCCCTTCTAGGAACGCAGAGTACCACCTCCTTCTTCAAGTCTAATGAATGGTACTTGATTTCAAAGAGCTTTAGAAGGTAGCATTCTTTGGCCACCTACTCATTTCAGGTGCACCCCATCATTTACATATTCCAAAGAACTTCCTATGTTAGCTAAATGTGCAGTTTAACAACATGTTTCTACGTTTTCCCTTGGTGATAGAGGACAAGGCAACAAAAGCTTTCATTCATGAGGCACTGCAGATTTCATCCACTGGAGTAGATCTAAGAAAATATAACTGTTCAGTGTAATTTATCCAATATTCAGAATTATTAACTTGTTTCTATACTGACCTTTGCTTTTGATCCCAATGAAAGATTAGCCGTATTGTAGCAGCATGTCCCCAACTCTCCCCTGGTGGGAACAAGAACAGAACAACTGTATACTGCCTTACTGACAAGGTTATAAGTCTCTCAGAATGCCTCTGACCAGAACAGTTTCACTTTACCTAATTTAACACAAGAATATATTTATACTTTCTTTTTTTTCATGTTCTTTGTGTAGTTTTATGTATTCCAGTGTAAGAAAAATACCTGGCATGTTACTTGGGACCAACTAAGAGGTCCATACCTGATGTCTATACGTAGGAGCCCAACCAAGAGATGCTGGAGCGGGAGTGGGATTGGATATTTACAGGGTGACTGTATATTGGGGAGAATGCAGGATGGAGGAAAGGCCGCCTGGATTTGATCACCATACATTACATCATTAGTTTTTGATGCAGTGTTCCATGATTCACTGTTTGCGTAACACCCAGTGCTCCACGCAGAATGTGCCCTCTTTAATACCCCTCACCAGACTAACCCACCCCCCAACCCCCTCCCCTCTACAACCCTCAGTTTGTTTCTCAGAGCCCATAGTCTCTCATGGTTTGTCTCCCCCTCCGATTTCCCCCCCTTCATTTTTCCCTTCCTGCTATCTTCTTCTTTTTTTTTTTAAACATATAACGTATTATTTGTTTCAGAGGTACGGGTCTATGATTCATCAGTCTTACACAATTCATAGCGCTCACCATAGCACATACCCTCCCAGAATATACTTATACTTTCAAAACCCCTTGTACACATGGGTAACATCCTGAGATTAACAGATTTTTACCTATCTGTGGAAATACTGAAGATTAGTATCCTTGATTTGCTTTCAGAAAACTTTATAGTTTGAGCCAACATTTTATCAATCTTCCATATCATCAGACCTACTAACATATTTCTGGCTACCAGAAGAAAAGCAAAAACTCTGACAGAATATTCTTAAAGAATTTAGTAAAAGAAAATTCTCGAAGCATTGTGTCCTAACAAAACCATGACTGAGGTTAGAAAGAGTCATGAGTCTATTCACTGTAGTGTGATGTGTATTTAAACGGATTCCCCCTTCCTTCTGCCTAAGACTTTCTGAGGGCAAGAGTCATCTTAAGAATATTTATATGCTTGGTGCCTGACACAATAGTTGCCACATAGTAGATGCTCAATAAATGGTTGTTAAAATAACTGAAAGGATGAGTGGGTATCTAAAGGCACTGTGCTCCATACTAAGACTTTTCAGTGAATAATCAGATACAATTTCTGCTTTCATGGTGCTTACAGTACTCAACAAGCATCACATGAAAGAGGTAGAAAAAATGTGTTAAGTTAAAAATACTTATCTGGGGGCGCCTGTCTGGCTCGGTCAGAAGAGCCTGTAATTCTTAATCTTGGGGTCATGAATTCAAGCCCCATGTTGGTTGTTAAGATTACTTAAATAAATAAAAAACTTAAAAAAAAACCCAAAAACTTATCTGATTAATTACCCACCCAACGCAGGAACCAGTAAGGCCCGATTTCTATCAATCTTCGTTGTCATCTGATTAGTTAAAAGTACCTAAAAAAAAAGAAAGTAAGAAAATTAGGTGAATCTCTCCCCAAAATTATCAAGGAAATAATTCTGTGATTTTAGTGTTCTGAATACAATTTAAAGAAAAATATATTTAGGTAATGAAAACTTTTCTGATAGCTTTTTAATTTGTCCATAAGTTATCTGAAAACATGAATCTATTGAGCATAAACATTTTTAACAGACAAGAAAAATTGTGAAAATGGAAGAATAAAAATTTAACAGATAATAAATACATAAAGGTGTAAAGAGACCATGTATAAAAACTTCATAACTGGGAGCATTGGAAAAACCTCACTTTTATAATTTAAATTTTGGAAAAGCCAATAGAAACCACCAGACCAGGGGTGCCTGGGTGGCTCAGTCGGTTAAGCGTATGCCTTTGGGCAGGTCATGATCCCAGGGTCTTGGGATCGAGCCCTGTGCTGGGCTCCCTGCTCAGCGGGGAGTCTGCTTCTTCCTCTTTCTCTGCCTGCGTTCTGTCAAATAAATAAATAAAATCTTAAAAAAAAAAAAAAGAAAGAAAAAGAAATCACCAGACCAACAGCAGGAATATCAATAGTGGTGATAAATATTTATTGAGTACTTAATACATGCCAGAAACTATGCTAAGTGCTTTACCTTCATTATCTAGCCTTCACAACAACCCCATGAATGAGGTATTATTATTAATATTTTTTGATGTTATTATTCCAGTTTAACACATGAGAAATCAGAAGCTTAGAAAGATTGAGTCTGGTGTTTTTGTTTTTGCTACCACTGTTGCCTCTCTAGAATATATTTAATCAAAAGAGTGTGAGATACTTAATAACTCACTGTTTACATCTTTAGGAAAGAGGCAAATACACTATTACCATTTCTGGTTTTACAGGAAAAGGAAGAACCCAAGGCAAAAATTATGAGAAAAGACTTAAAATCATAAAGAAAATACAGAAGTAGTAAAAAATAAAACCCAGCAATCAAGTCAAATGACTCCAAATTATAGTCTACTGATAACAGATATAGGTGTTGCTTTACTCAAAATGGCCCTCAAGGCTAAAAATAGTACTAATTCTTTTGGATTGAATAGTGACCTATAGAAAAGATTCCATGCTTTGAAGGATAGTAATTTTTTTGTTTTTTTAATTCCAATTTAGTTAACATAGTGTTATATTAGCTTCAAGTGTACAATATAGCGATTAAACAATTCTATACATTACTCAGTGCTCATTAAGTATACTCTTTATTTAAAGATTTATTTAGAGAGTGAGCAAGCAGGGGGGAGGGAGAGAGAGAATCCTTAAGCAGATTCCTGCTGAGTGCAGAACCTGACATGGGGCTCGATCCCAGGACCTGAGACCATGACCTGAGCTGAAACCACGAGTTGGATGCTTAACCGACTGAGCCACACAGGCACCCCAAGATAAGTGTACTTTTTTTTTTTTATTAACATTCTTAGTTTATTGATCCTCTCATGAAAAATCTGCACAACCACCACAGATAAAGCCACTGCAGCATTTTTACTCCTTCTGTTGTCCAATCTCCAGCTCACTTCTTTTTGCCAGCACCAACGTTGGCTTTTGCAGTCCCCCTGACTTTCTTCATTCTGTTCTTACGTTCCTTTCGCTGTTTTCTTGATGTCTTTTTCTTCTCATACAGGCCATGTCTTGCAAGTCTGTGTTTGGGTTCATTTTTCTTTGCATAATCCAAAGAATCATAAATCATGGCAAAGCTGGTTGTCTTGCCACCACCAAAATGGGTTCTGAATCCAAACACAAATATGACATCTGGTGCGGTCTTGTACATTTTGGCTAGTTTTTCCCGAATTTCTGTCTTAGGTACCGTTGCCTTTCCAGGGTGAAGAACATCAATGACCATCTGTTTCCGCTGAAGTAGTCGGTTAGTCATGAACTTCCTGGTCCGGACAGTTACTGTGTCGTTCATGATGGCGGCCGATAAGTGTACTCTTAATCCCTTTTGCCTATTTCACCCATTCCCCCACCCACCTCCCCTGTGGCAACCATCTGTTTGTTCTCTATAGTTAAGAGCCTGTATATATACACACACATACACATACATACATATACACACACGTTCTTTATCCATTCATCTGTCAATGGACACTTGGGCTGCTTCCATATCTTGGCTATTACAAATAACACTGCTATAAACATGGGGGTGCATATATCCTTTTGAATTAAGTGTTTTCTTATTCTTTGGGTCAACATCCAGGAATACAATTACTGATAATTCTATTTTTAGTTTTTTGAGGAACCTCCATACTGTTTTCCACAGTGACCACAAGAGTTTGCATGCCCACCAACAGTGCACAAGGTTCCTTTTCCTCCACATCCTCGCCAACACTTGGCTGTTTCTTGTGTTTTTTATTTTAGCCATTCTAACAGTGTGAGGTAATATCTCACTATGGTTTTGATTCAGATTTCCCTGATGAGTGATGTTAAGCATCTTTTCATGTGTCTGTTGGACATTTGTACATCTTCTTTGGAGAAATATGTGTTTACGTCTTCTGCCTGTTTTTTAATTGGATTATTTGTTTTTTGGGGTATTGAGTTGTATAAATTCTGGGTTTTTTAAAATACTGCCCTAAAGCCAAAAGACCTGGCCTATAAGCACTGAGTTGTATAAATTCTTTATGTATTTTGGATACTAACCCCTTACTGGATATATCATTTACAAGTACCTTTTCCCATTCAGTAAGTTGCCTTTTAGTTCTGCTGATTGCTTCCTTTGCTATGCAGAAGCTTTTTATTTTAATGTAGTCCCAATCATTTTTTTTTGTTTCCCTTGCCTCAAAATGAAGGACAGTAGAGAAAAAGAGTGTTTAAGGCTGACTGAATACCGGGCACCTGGGTGGCTCAGTCAGTTAAGCGACTGCCTTCAGCTCTGGTTATGATCCCAGAGTCCTGGGATCGAGTCCCACATCAGGCTCCCTGCTAAGCAGGGAGCCTGCTTCTCCTTCTCCCTCTGCCTGCCACTCCCCCTGCTTGTGCTGACAAATAAATAAAATCTTTAAAAAAAAAAAAAAGCTGACTGAATACAGTAAAAAGATTATTTGACACCTCCCAGCCCCAAATTCTCCAAAAAGAGTTATTTTAAATATTCTTCCAATAGAGATCTTCCCCCCAGAAATATGACAGATACTACTGCAAGCTAACAGTGATGAAGAACTTCTATGAAAAGCAATGAGAAAAGGTACCTACTCTGAAAAAGGCACCAGTTCCATAAGGAAACTGAGAAAGAAAAGGCTGTTTGGCTATTCCCACTGCGCTGATAACACCCTAAAATTTTTGTTTGTCTACAAAGGAGAAATCTGTGCTCCATCTGGATTTCAATTAGGCACAAACTGGATGACATGACTTTCTTCTAGTTTCTCTTCCCTTAAGTGCCACAGTGGCTTCCCCATGTCACATCAGGCATCTTAGAAAAAGCTAAGCAGGAATTTAAATTGGTAATTAACTGAAATATATGATTAACTGGCATCCCCAACATGCAGAATAATACCCTTTACAGACCACCGAGTGTTTAAGCTCTAGCAACTGGGATATTTATACCAACACTTTTTGGTTAGAGGCACACCATTCAATTCTGCAACCATTAGGCACATACACAGCTTTTTAAAATTAAATTAAAATTAGACAGTCAGTTCCTCAGTAGCACTAACCATTTTTCAAGTGCTCAATAGCCATGCAATTGCTGTATTAGACTGAGCATTTTCATCTTCCCAGAAAGTCCTATCAGACAGCACTGGTTTACAGAGTACAGGTATCCCATGCTTTTGAAAAGTTCTTGTTATGCCACTTCACTTTTATGAAAGACCTATATTAGTACCTGCTTTTGCTAACCATAAGAAATCCAAAGAGGATTTTCACTTTTATGAAAAAAAAAAAAAAGTGAAAAGCAAATATAGTTTTCAGCTTTTGTTTTGCAGAGAACCGCCATAGAGGCAGACTGCACCCAGGCAGGGAGAGCAGCATCACCAAGCTCCTTCCCCTGGGAATGATACTCAGCATCTTAGCATCAAGCTGCCATAGCTTTGAACTGTGTCTGTGGGCATCTGTGCTCTATCTTGATTTGCTTTGTGCATTCATTAGCAACAACTGTCCTAAGATATCAGAAAAGATATATAAATGTAAATAGATGTACTGGCTTACCAACTGTTAAACAACCCAAAATCAGAATTTGCACTTTTAGCAATTACTTATAAAAGAATTACATGACCTCTGCAAAAACACTGGGTTTACCATATTAAAGAATGAATCTTTAAAATAGTGAAGTAACAATCACTTCTAAATTATGAAGTTCATTGCTTTAAAAATATACTTCTGTCACCCAAATGTCCTTCAATTGATGAATAAACAAAATGTGATATATTGAGAGAAAATGCAAAGTTAATCAGTCATAAAAAGGATACTGATATATGCTACAACATGGATGAATCTTGAAAACATTATCCTAAGTGAAAGAAGCCAGACATAAAAGACCACATATTGAATGATTCTATTTATATAAACCATCCAGAAAAGATGAACCTATACAGACAGAAAGCAGACTAATGGTTCTCAGGGGCTGATGAGAGGGTGCAACGGAGAGTGACGGCTAATGAGCATGGGATTTCATTTTGGGGTGATGGGAATGTTCTAAAATTAAGATAGTGATTGTTTCACAACTCTGTAAATATACTACAAACCACTGAACTGTACACATTAAAAGGGAGAATTTTATGGTATGGTAATTAAATCTCAATAAAGCTGCTAAAAAACATTTCTGCTAATAATCAAATTAATGAATCTCTAAAAGGATTCTATCATAGTTTGGCAAAGATTTAAAAGACTCAAAGTTGGTAAAGATGTGGAAAAACAAGAATTCCCATTCATTGCTATAGAGAACATACTTTGGAACATGGTTTCTGAGAGTGATTTGATAAAATATAATGTAATATTTAAAAACAGATACCCCCCAAAAAATAAGTAAATAAAAAAAGAGATATTCCTTTGACGTAATACTTTCAGAAATAACTGGATAAACGGAGAAAAAGGCATATATAAAGTTGCTGACTGCAGTTTTTTATTTTTATATATTTATTTATTTTAAAGATTTTACTTCTTTGTCAGGGGGGTGGGGGAGAGAGAGAACACAAGCAGGGGGAGGGGCAGGCTGAGGGAGAAGCAGGCTCCTCGCTGAGCAAGGAGCCCAATGCAGAACTTGGATCCCAAGACGCTGGGATCATGACTCAAGCCAAAGGCAGACACTTAACCAACTGAACCACCCAGGTGTCCTGACTGCAGTTTTTTCAATAGTGAAAAACTGAAGCCAACTTTAAAGACAATACGGGGGTGATTAAAAAACTATGCTATGAGGGGCATCTGGGTGGCTCAGTTGGTTAAGCAACTGCCTTTGGCTCAGGTCATGATCCTGGAGTCCCGGGATCAAGTCGCAGGGAGTCTGCTTCTCCCTCTGACCCTCCTTCCTCTCATATTCTCTCTGTATCATTCTCTCTCTCAAATAAATAAAATCTTTAAAAAATAAAAAAATAAAAAACTATGCTTTGAAAGAGTGCTCAACATCACTTGGCATCAGGGAAATACAAATCAAAACCACAATGAGATACCACCTCACACCAGTCAGAATGGCTAAAATTAACAAGTCAGGAAATGATAGATGTTGGCAAAGATGCAGAGAAAGGGGAACCCTCCTACACTGTGGGTGGGAATGCAAGCTGGTGCAGACACTCTGGAAAACAATATGAAGGTTCCTCAAAAATTGAAAATAAGGCTACCATACAACCCAGCAACTGCACTACTGGGTATTTACCCCAAAGATACAAATGTAGTGATCCAAAGGGGCACATGCATCCCAACGTTTATAGCAGCAATGTCCACAATAGCTATGGAAAGAGTCCAGATGTCCATCGACAGATGAATGGATAAAGAAGATGTGGTATATATATGCAATGGAGTATTATGCAGCCATCAAAAAATGAAATCTTGCCATTTGCAATGATGTGGATAGAACTAAAGGGTATTATGCTAAGCGAAGTAAGTCAATCAGAGAAAGACAAGTATCATATGATCTCAATTATATGTGGAACTTGAGAAACAAGGCAGAGGATCATAGGGGAAGAGATGAAAAAATGAAACAAGACGAAACCAAAGAGGGAGACAAACCGTAAGAGACTCTTTTAATCTCAGGAAACAAACTGAGGGTTGCTGGAGTGGAGGCAGGTGGGAGAGATGGGGTGGCTGGGTGATGGACACCGGGGAGGGTATATGCTATGGTGAGCACTGTGAATTGTGTAAGACTGATGAATCACAGTTGTGTACCCCTGAAATAATACTTTGTATGTTAATAAAAGTAAATAAATTTAAAAAAAAAACTATGCTACATTGGGACACCTGGGTGGCTCAGTTGGTTAAGCGTCTGCCTTTGGCTCAGGTCATGGTCCCAGGGTCCTGGGATCGAGTCCCGCATCAGGCTCCCTGCTCAGCAGGAAGTCTGTTTCTCCCTGTTCCTCCTCCTCCCCTCCTGCTCATGCTCTCTCTCTCGCTCTCTGACAAATAAAATCTTTAAAAAACAAACAAAACAAAACAAAAAACTATGTTATAATCATACAATGGAACACTATATAAGCTGTTAAGGTATACTTATAAAGTATTGTATATGGAAAAATGCTCACAATATATTAAGTGAAAAACAAAAAACTGCTTTGTATAATAGCATGAATATGATCTTTATTTTTTTATTTTATTTATTTTTAAAGATATTATTTATTTATTTGACAGAGAGAGACACAGCAAGAGAGGGAACACAAGCAGGGAGAGTGGGAGAACAAGAAGCAGGCTTCCCGCAAAGCAGGGAGCCCGATGCGGGGCTCGATCCCAGGACCCTGGGATCATGACCCAAGCCGAAGGCAGATGCGTAACGACTGAGCCACCCAGGTGCCCTATTTTTTTTTTAAATGTTTTATTTTTATTTATTTGACAGAGAGAGACAGCTAGAGAGGGAACACAAGCAGGGGGAGTGGGAGAGAGAAGCAGGTTCCCCTGCTGAGCAAAGAGCCCTATGTGGGGCTCAATTCCAGGACTCTGGGATCATGACCTGAGCCAAAGGCAGACACTTAATGACTGAGCCACCCAGGCGCCCGTGAATATGATCTTTAAAAAATATGGGGCGCCTGTGTGGCTGAGGCTCAGTTGGTTAAGCATCTGCCTTTGGCTCAGGTCATGATCTCAGGGTCCTGGGATCGAGCCCCGCATTGGGCTCCCTCCTCAGCAGGAAGCCTTCTTCTCCCTCTCCCATTCCCCCTGCTTGTGTTCCCTCTCTCGCTGTCTTTCTGTCAAATAAGTAGATAAAACCTTTAAATAAAAAGAAAAAAAATCTTAAAAAAAATATGTGTATATAGGGGCACCTGGCTGACTCGGTAGAGCATGCAACTCTTGATCTCAAGGTTGTGAGTTCAAGGCCCATGTTGGGTGTACAGACTACTTTAAAATAAAAATAAAAACTTAAAAAACTTAATACGTTTGGAAAAATAGGTACACTAAACTCAAGAATAATTATCTCTAGGTAATAGATACCTTACTTACTTTCTACACTTTTGATTGCTTAGAACTTCTTTTACAGAAAGCATATATAAAATTGTGAAATGTATTTATTATCGAAAGTCCTAAATGCTTCTATACATGGTAACTGGGAAATTAAAAAAATCAAGCAAAGTGGTGAGCGCTGTGAATTGTGCAAGACTGTTGAATCACAGATCTGTACCACTGAAACAAATAATGCAATATATGGTAAGGAAAAAAAAAAGAAGATAGCAGGAGGGGAAGAATGAAGTGGGGGAAATCGGAGGGGGAGACGAACCATGAGAGATGATGGACTCTGAAAAACAAACTGAGGGTTCTAGAGGGGAGGGGGGTGGGGGGATGGGTTAGCCTGGTGATGGCTATTAAAGAAGGCACATTCTGCATGGAGCACTGGGTGTTATGCACAAACAATGAATCATGGAACACTACATCAAAAACTAATGATGTAATGTATGGTGATTAACATAACAATAAAAAATTTAAAGAAAAAAAAGCAAAGAAGAATTTATAGAGGGGAAAGTATGCTCTCAACCCCACAAAATCCTATTTCTAGAAGTAGTCATTATGAACATTTTGATCCTTTCAGATCTTTTTGTTGATATATATAAATATAAATGCACATATAGAATTTTTATTTTTCTCAAAAGTGGGATCACATAAAATATATTATGTGACTTGAATCTTTTTACTTAACCATATATCTGGACATATCTTGTTCTGTGTTAGTACATGTATATTTACATTACTCTTCTTAAACACTGCATAGTATTCCATGTTACTGTTTAGATTACTTTTTTAATCAGAAAAGATAAAGCTATTTCTAGTCAACTAACAAAACGAAACTTAAGAACTATGCAACCCATTAGTCTTGAGTGCCCCCTACTGGGGGCTCTTCATTGATATTAACAGATACTAAATTAAAAATTAATACAAGAAATAATTCAAACACAGGACACTATGCTTTTCAATATATGGCAAAAAATATATATAAAAACTCAAAAGAAAAGATGTTTTGAAATGATTTTATTGAGGAGTTCTTTATCTACTTATGCTATATTACAGATATGTACAAAGGACTCTCTAATCAGGGTAAATACAAGAAAATCAAGTTAAGTGGCTTGATCTTTTCCCATCTCCCTCCTGGACAAGTGTGTGTATTGGTGTGGGGTTTTAGAGTGGAAAGTGACGGCAAATATGTAGTTAAAAAAAGTCATTACCTCACTCCTTTGTCTAGTCACTTCTGAATTTATCTTTATATCTGACCTCACATTTCAAATCTAGAAGAGTCAGCTCTACCTCCAAACATCTAGGTTGTTCACACTATGTAATTTTTCTATCTGTCTGAGTCTGTGATTATACAACATGTAATAATAAAAGACCCAGAGTAAAAGAAAAATGGGGATGTTAGAAGAGTTTACCTGAAAAACATGAAATATTACATTAAAAAAACCCCAACACTGCAATTACCAAAGGTGGCATTTCTTTATCAAACAATTCCATTTTAAAATATGGCATCTTGATTATGCTTGTTATTTTCTAGGAAAACTAATATACAACACTATGGAATTAATTTTTTAAAAAAAAACAAACAAAAACGATTCAAAACTGTATTATGTGCTTTTAGTCAAATTCTATTCAGCTATTTCTAAACATTAATATTTTATACAAGTTTGACTTTATTATAAAATTCTCTTGGCTGATAATACTTACAGCTAATCTGTGGCTATTTGCAAGGCTGATCATTTGCTGGGCTAGGCCATTTAGTAATCGAGTACGAAGGGACAGGTCATCTAGGTCATGACGAAAAGGAAAAGCAATACCATCCACTATCACTAATCGAACCTAAATACAGAAGAGATAATGATATTAGGTTTGGTATTAAAAATAAAATTTAAAAACTGGCATCCCAAAAGCATGTTCATTCCAAGAAAAAAAAAATCTTTAAAATCCAGAGTTCTTTTTTCTAACTCTCCAAAATAAATCTATTCACCCAATGCTTTCTGCATTAATCACCAAAAGTTAAAATGTACTCTGGTTTGAAAAGTAATTCAACATAAAGAAGCAATTATAATTTTCTTATAATTTACCACTATACAAATCTTTACAAAGGCATTTTACACTGATAAAAAGCACTTCTGAGGTCTTAGTAAAACAAATTCTTCAATATTTCAATTTTATCTTCAAGATTTTTATGTTTAAAAAAACTCTCCAGGGCGCCTGGGTGGCTCAGTTGTTGGGCGTCTGCCTTCGGCTCGGGTCATGATCCCAGAGTCCTGGGATCGAGTCCCGCCATCGGGCTCCCTGCTCAGCGGGAAGCCTGCTTCTCCCTCTCCCACTCCCCCTGCTTGTGTTCCTGCTCTCGCTATCTCTGTCTCTGTCAAATAAATAAATGTTTAAAAAAAACCTCTTCAAATATTGTATCTTCTTCAAAAACTTCAAATTCTTTGTATACTTTTCTTCCTTAATAATCATTACAGAATCCGTTATAATATAGAATTCAGCATGAGGCAGGTTTGTCTTGGAATTCCAATCAAGAAGGTTCACTTACAGATGATAAACATTTTCATGACAGTTGCATTTCTTTTTTTTTTTTTTAAGATTTTATTTATTTGACAGAGAGAGAGATAGGGAGAGCAGGAACACAAGCAGGGGGAGTGGGAGAGGAGAAGCAGGCTTCCCGCGGAGCAGGGAGCCCAGTGTGGGGCTCGATCCCACAACCCTGGGATCATGACCTGAGCCAAAGGCAGACGCTTAACAACTGAGCCACCCAGGTGCCTATGACAGTTGCATTTCTAATATAATCCAAATAATGGCTCCTACAGTGACATTAGAGTAATATATAAACCTCACATCCAAGAACAAACAGAATTTGGATATAAACCAGAAAAACCCTGTAAGATTATATATTTTTCTACCTAATAGGGATTAGGCTAAAGAAGAGGATTTGATGACACCATGTCTAAGTAACCCATTTTTGCATGTTTTATTAGAGTATTCATTCCTTCATTCAGCATGTGCTTATTGATACCTACTATACGTTAGTCACTGTTACAGGTAGTAGGGAACAAGAGAAAAGGTCCCTGCTTTCTTGGAGTTTATGTTCTAGTGGAGTAAAGGACAATTAACATGCAAACAAATACATGAATAATTTCTGATAATGATAGGAGTTATGAAGAAATGAAACTGTATGAAATGATGATGAATAAGTAGGTGGTAAAGTAGAGGAAGGCTAACTTAGACTAGATATAAGGGAAGACATCAATGAAAAGGGAGGCAACAGAACCAAGTCTTGGATAAGAACCTCTAGAAGGCGGGGCGCCTGGGTGGCTCAGTCATTAAGCATCTGCCTTCGGCTCAGGTCATCATCTCAGGGTCCTGGGATCGAGCCCCGCATCAGGCTCCCTGCTCTGCGGGAAGCCTGCTTCTCCCTCTCCCACTCCCCCTGCTTGTGTTCCCTCTCTCTCTGTCAAATAAATAAATAAAATCTTTAAAAATAAAAGAACCTCTAGAAGGGAAAGAGAGCCCACATACAAGGAAATACTTTTGCGTATGGTGACACACGGTAACTAGACATATTGTGGGGATTCTTTTACAATGTGTAAAAATATCAAGTCACTATGATGTACAACTGAAACTAACAGGATATTGTACATCAATTACTCTTCAATTAAAAAAACGCACCTTTGTTGTTTCACTTTCATCACACTTGCTAACATAAACAAAAATATCAACCAGCCTTCATGTTAAAACAGTACTTGATCATCACGAGATGAGCAACTTCTTTTGAATTGGACAGCAATCAAGTGCTCACTGGTAGCATGATTTTGCCATAGGTCAGATATGGATACATAAGTTTAGCAAAATTAAAATCAAGGAAAACCTCATATGCTGGCGGTAAGAATGTAAATTTGTTCAGCAACTATGAAAAAAACAGTTCAGTGGTTCCTCAAAAAATTAAACAGTATTACCACATGACCCAGCAATTTCACTTCTAGGTACATGCACCAAAGAACTAAAAACTGGTACTAAAACAAATATATGTACACACATGTTCATAGCAGCCACAATTCACAATAATCAAAAGATAGAAACAGCCCAAATCAACAGATGAAAGGATAGACAGACTATGACGTATACATACGACAGAGTATTATCCCACCATAAAAAGGAATGAAGTACAGGTATAAGCTACAAAGCAGATGAATTTTGAACATATTATGCTAAGTGAAAGAGCCAGACCAAAAAGATCACACATCATATGATTCCATTTATATGCAATATCCAAAATAGGTAAATCCATAGAGACAGAATACAGATTGGTGGTTGCCAGAGTCTTTGCAGGGAGAAAAGGGAGCAACTCCTTAAAGGGTATGAGTTTCCTTTTAGGGTGATAAAAGCATTGTGGAACTAGAGGTAGTGACTGTCAACATTGTGAATGTACTAATTGCACTGAATTGTTCACATTTATTTTTTTTTTTTAAGATTTTATTTATTTGACAGAGAGTGAGCACAAGCAGGGGGAGAAGCAGACTCCCCATCAAGCAGGGAGCCCGATGCAGGACTTGATCCCAGGACTCTGGGATCATGACGTGAGCTGAAGGCAGATGCTTAACCACTAAGCCACCCAGGCACCCCTGAATCGTTCACTTTTAAATGGTAAATCTTGGAGGCGCCTGGGTGGCTCAGTCGGTTAAAAGTCTGCCTTTGGCTCAGATTGTAATCTTGGGGTCCTGGGATTGAGCCAAGCCACCATTCGGTCCGGTTCCCTGCCCAGCATGAAATCTGCTTCTCCTCTCCCTTCCCCTCCCACTTGAGTGCATGTGCACATGCTCACTCTCAAATAAATGGAATCTTAAATCTCAAATAAACAGTGAATCTTATTATGTGAAATTAACCTCAATAAAAAAACCAAATCAATGAAAGCTTTCTATAAGACCCAGTTGGCTACACAAATTTACAAGAAAGAGTATTGTATGTTTTATTATTATTTGTAAATGGTGTGCTATACATCTTTTATATCAGCAACTTTATAATAAACTTATGTATGTATATATGTGCATACACTTTTTTTTCCTTGAAAGCCAGTCACTAAATATTTACCAGCATACCAATTAGGAGGTAAGAAGAATCAGATATGTGTGTGTATGTATTTATTCATTTACACATTCATTCAGTGGTTCCCAAAGGCCAGAAAGTGATAGGATGATACAAATTGTTGGAAGAAAAAATACTGTCAACCAAAAATTGTGTATCTGGCAAAAGCATTCTTCAAAAATAAAGCAGAAATTAAGACATTCCCAGGTGTCTGAGTGGCTCAGTTGGCTGAGCGCCCAACTACTGGTCTCAGCTCAGGTCTTGATCTCAGGGTCATGAGGTGAAGCCCCATGCTGGGCTCCACTTAAAAAAAAAAAAAGTTAAGACAATTCAGATAGAGGATTCATTGCTAGTAGATGTACTCTACAAGAAATGCTAAACAGAGTCCTTCAGGCTGAAAATGAAAGAACACCAGACAGTAACTCAAATCCATACACAGAAATAAAGAATACCAGTAAATGTAACTACATATCTAAAACTCAGCATTAATGTATTTTTGGTTTGTAACCCCTCTTATTTTCTTATATGATTTAAAAGACAACCATAGGGGCGCCTGAGTGGCTCAGTCATTAAGTGTCTGCCTTCACTTCAGGTCATGATCCCAGTATCCTGGGATCGAGCCCCGCATCGGGCTCCCTGCTCTGCGGGAAGCTGGCTTCTCCCTCTCCCTCTGCCCCTGCTTGTGTTCCCTCTCTCGCTGTGTTTCTCTCTCTGTCAAATAAATAAATAAAATCTTTAAAAAATTTTAATTAAAAAAATTAATTTGGTATTTATTTAAACTAGACTGCTATGAATTAGGATGTTAATTATAATCCCCAGAGCAACTAAGAAAATAACTAAAAAATATACGGTAAAAGAAATGAGAAGGGACTCAATATGGTACACTGGAAAATACCTAACAAAAAAGAAAGGAATGGGGAAATTGAGAAACAAGATACAGATCTTCCTCAACTTACATAAGGATTACATTCCAATAAACCCACACCAAGTCGAAAATATTGTTAAGTCAAAAATGATTTAATACGTTTAATGTATCAAACATCATAGTTTAGTCTGGCCTAAGTTAAATGTGCACTCGGAACACTTACATTAGCCTACACCTGGGCAAAATCATCTAACACAAAGCCTATTTTATAATAAAGCACCGACTATCTCATGTAATTTACTGAATACTGTACTAAAAGTGAAAAATAGAATGGTTATATAGGTACAGAATGGTTGTAAGCGTATTGCTTGTTTACCCTCATGATCGCATGGCTGATTGAAAGCTGTGGCTCACTGCGAGAGCGTACTACACTGAACATCACTAGCCTAGGAAAAGATCAAAATTCGATGTATAGTTTTTACTAATATGTATCACTTTTGCACCATTGTAAAATAAAAAAACTTGGGGCACCCGCGTGGCTCAGTGGGTTAAGCATCTGCCTTCGGCTCAGGTCATGTTCCCAGGGTCCTGGGATCGAGCCATGTATTGCGCTCTCTGCTCAGCGGGGAGCCTGCTTCTCCCTCTCCCTCTGTCACTCTCCCTGCTTGCGCGTGCGCTTGCGTGCTCTTTCTCTCTGTCAAATAAACAAAATCTTTAAAAATAATAAATAAAATAAAATAAAATAAAAACTTGTAAGTCGAACCATCCTAAGTCAGAGGCTTAGGCAGAGATTGGCAGAATGGATTTTAAAAAATGATCTAACTATAAGCTTTCTGCAAAACACTCACTTTAGATCCAAAGATACAAATAAGTGGGGCACCTG